ACTGGCCGCACGGATTAGAACAACTGACTGTCTTTTACAGCAAAGTAGAGTTAGTTCTTTTATGAAAATTTCAGCTAATCGCATTTATTTTACTGCACGTTGCTAAAGATAGGTGAAATATTTAACTTAAGAAATAAGAAATAGGCTAGCCTGAGCTTAAGATAAGAAATATGGTATCTTGCGCAAGGACAAGCACCTTTCAAGAAGGTACAGGACATTGTGAATATCCAAATCATCTATTATCTGCTCCGTCCTCTTTAGGCGATTAGTTTTTTATACAAAAATGCAATAATGCCGTTGTAATGTAACAGTGCTCCAGCAATGTGTTGTTAGTGGGGACTGTGGTCAAGGCTTCCGGCAAGTAGGTTTCACTGCACTAATGACTGCTTAGTTAGGTTTAATTACAAATTTGGGACGGTTGAGGACGAGCCTCAGGGTCTCAAGTGGGGCTCGTTGGTATCAAATATGCTGTGAGATGTGATACCGCCGATTGCGTATCTGTCAGAGTGTAATCGTCTAGGACCTGATTTTTACCTCGCGCGTCAGTCTCTTTATGATCTTCCGAATGGCTATGCAAAAGAGGAAGGGTGAATGGGGGTTCCCATGTTGGACGCCCTCTGCTGAAATAACTGACTTCGAGCTCGCCGACAGCAGCGTCGAGTCTCCGCTATACCTGTCCGGGAACAAAGCTAGGCGGCTTAGGAACTGCTCAAACGGCTTAGAGAACCGAAGCTAACATAAATAATAAAAAAAATTATATCTAATGTTCCTGATTTAGCATCAGGAAGATTGATATATGGCCGTGGCGTTAGACATGCTGCTTCACCACCTTGGGGGAAACTCAAAAATTTCTCTTGAGCAGCACGGCTGCATCTCTACAGATACTCCTGACAGCTGCCCTTGCATAGGAGAAATCAGTGGGTGTTACCTACGGCCATAGATCCGATTCCTCCATTTTCTTCAGTGCAGATAGGGTTGCATCCAAGATGACGGCTTATACTTCGTCAGGAATTACACCAACCAGGCTGTTGTTTATAAACTTTTTGGTCTCTGACAGTTAGGTTTCTAGAACTAGAGCAGGTTAACAATCTCCAAGACATCTTCAGGATATATTCAAGTGTATCCTTGAAAACCAGGAAGAAACAACAATTGCTTTTAAGACCTCTGCTTCTTGAAGAACTAGTGATCGCAGGTTGGGAACACCCGAGTTCAGGGAGGAGCATTACTCTGCTCATTCCGATTGTGTTGTTCTCTCAGTGGTGGAGCTGCGGCGTCATCTCCGGCTGCGACATTATCTTCACTACTGATTATCCTCAGTTCTCCCTCTGCATTCCCTTTGATATTTCTTTTGCTGACCTGGGATCTTATTTTCATACTGTTGATGGAGGTCTTATTTGGTCTGACTCGCAGAATTTCCGTTGGTGGGAAGACAAATTAAGTTGTATGTTGAAAATAGCTTCTCATTCCGGTGATGCTAGGGACGTAACACGCCTAGCAGGCAAAACTACGCACACACTGCCAGGCAGAAGCAGTGCACAATGTCTTGATGGTGTCTGGAGTATCAAGGAAATCTGACCATTTACTTTCCTGACGAGGACTATGTATTTACCTGAAGCATGACGAAGGGATGCCTTAAGGACGTGGCAAAGTATTCCAGTGGAAGATTTTAGCGTAGCTTCCAACATGTCATCGCGTGAAATTCGTAAGGATGTGTTCAGCTTACTGTGTGCCGCTTCTCTTCATACAGCAAAGTAGCCCTCGTATTTGCTTATAGGCATGTGGTGTGATGCGGTGTGTGATGAACAATGCTGACATATTGCCTCTCCTAGCATTGTTTTTCTATGTTTCTTAGACTGAGGGTCTCCTATTGGATTTCATCATCGTCAACTGTCATGTCAGATATAATGTGAGTCATTACCATTGTGATGCCGGGAAGGTTGGGCATCTCCTTCCTTCCAGCCCTTTGAGAAAGTCGCTGGACACCAGCTTCACCCCCACACAAAAGTTTTTTATTTCGACATTGATAAATGGGTTCAGTTCCTAAGCAGGCCACGACATTTGGGCAAAGTTTCCTTAAACTCAATACTTCTGCTAACCCGAAAGAAAATATGTAACTAGAAATTGGACTGTTGTGGATCGCATCTCAAGTGATGGCAAATCTTCCATTGGCTAAGGTGATTAATATACACACACACATATATATATATATATATATATATATATATATATATATATATATATATATATATATATATATATATATATATATATATTAAAGGGAGAGGGAGTGTTTATAACGTGTTGGGGACTGGAACCCCAACTACGGAAGACGTAACCATGTTATGACAGGAGGGAGAAGTGCGAGCCCTTCACAGTACCCAAGATCACTTAGCCAGACACTCTTGCCTCAAGAGGAGCGAGCCACCACTGTCACGTCGATGATGCAATGAGTCTTATCAACTTTTACAGCAGCGTGTTTGAACAGCTCTCCTCGGGGGCTCACATCAAGGGTTTGATCAGCACTGTTTGCTATCCTTTCTGTTCCCGGCGACCTTGAAGCGAGGTCACGCCAGGTACTCCACCATATATAAGCTGGTAGTCGGCCAGGAGATCGTCAGAGTTCTTCGGCTGCAGTTACCGAGGACTACTTCCATTCCTGCCTCCTCATTCTCCTCCACTTCAAGACACAAGGTACGTCGTCTCCGCTGCCTCCTGACTTCTCAGACTTGATTCATTACATGCGAAACATTCTGAACACGTCCACTTAAGTCTGGAATTTCTTCCGTCTGGGCCAAAAATGAGAAAGAAGTAAACAAAGAGTTGATGATAAGAGGTGTTTAAAAACACCTCTTATCAACTCTTTGTTGACATAAGCTTACCTACGATGTTTAACGCTACTTATACTTAGAAAGGCATAAGAAGCAGAGTAATGAACAGGAAGCGGGAACCTGTCGAAAGTGGAAGCAGAGTTAGAGGGGAAGCACAGTTAGAAGGGAAGCACAGTTAGAGGGGAAGCAGAGTTAGAAGAGAAGCAGAGTTAGAGGGGAAGCAGTTACAGCGCATCATCTTCCTTGTGGCGTGGTCAGCACACCGTCCTCACCATAAAGTCACTCACCCACTTCTCATCTCACAATAAGGATGAGTGTTGGCACCGTGCCAGGCTTCCCAGTCTACACCTCATCGTTTTTAACACTAAATAAAACTCGAATCGAGTGATATAAAAATAATTATACAGTGGAAGAAGCTGATTTAGAAATGGTAATACAAATACATGTTTAGACCATCGTGGAACACGGAGTGTGTGTGTGTGTGTGTGTGTGTGTGTGTGTGTGTGTGTGTGTGTGTGTGTGTGTGTGTGTGTGTGTGTGTGTGTGTGTGTGTGTGTGTGTATTCACCTAATTGTGCTTGCGGGGGTTGAGCTCTGGCTCATTCGGCCCGCCTCTCAACTGTCACTCAATCAACTATTTTTTCACTCACACACACACACGCACACAGGAAGTAGCCCGTAACAGCTGTCAAACTCCCGGGTACCCATTTACTGCTAGTTGAACAGGCGCATTAGGGTGCAAGAAACTCTGTCCATCTGTTCCCGTCTCGGCCAGGACTCGAACCCGATCTCTTAGGATTACGACCCCCGAGTGCTGTCCACTCAGTCGCTAAGCGCTGTGTAGATGTGTGTGTGTCTCTCTCTCTCTCACCGGTGAGAGAGAGAGAGCAAGAGAAAGAGAGAGAGAGAGAGAGAGAGAGAGAGAGAGAGAGAGAGAGAGAGAGAGAGAGAGAGAGAGAGAGAGAGAGAGAGAGAGAGAGAGAGAGAGAGAGAGAGAGAGAGAGAGAGAGAGAGAGAGAGAGAGAGAGAAAACCTTCCCAGGTAAACTTGTACTTAGAGTGTTGAAAGGGTTCGTCCGAGTTAAACCACAAGATAATTATTTGTACAACTACGTCCAAATTCACTAAATTTGAAGTTAAAAATCGCATTTTGGGATGCGAGAGGATCTTAGAGTTAATTTTTAGAGCACAATGTCCTGAACTGTCAAGTCTGCTGACCACAACTGCTTTGTGGATCAATCTGGAGCACTCCTAAACTTCATCCAAATTTCAGTCCCCACAAGTGTGTGTATTAACGTTTGTGTCTGCACATACACTCATGTGTGTGTCAATATGTATCCAACCGAAAAAAAATTGATGCAGTTTCTAACATTTTATAATATTCGCCTTCATTTAACGTAAGAAAAATAAAGTTTCTCATGGACTAGCAACGCACACACGTTAGTCAGGAAAGTTTCCTTTTATCATAATGATGCGCGTTACTGGAACCCGAGTTATCTATAGTGAAATTCTCCGAAAAATTCTGAAAAATATTAAGGGGAGAGTCATCAAGATTTCTTAAATCAATTTATTAAAAAAGTTGAATTACAAGGCCATGGTAATTACCTTGACCGTAATCAATATATATTCTTTTAATTACATTTTTGGCGGAACAGAAATGCCAGTTTTCACTGACTATTCGAGATCCATGTGTGTAGGTTTTTACTTAATATACTGCTGGAAAGCAAATCTGGCATCTTCAATATTTATTTAAATAATAAAATTACCTTTTGTGTGGGCGAGTGCACAGTTGTTAAGATAGAAAAGATAAATACTATGCAATAAAAGGCAGATTAAGGCATTAAAATATAAAACTTCAAGACTACACAGCCGCCACATCCAAAAGCTACACAGACACAGCTTTCCTAAGTGAACCCGCTAAGTTCAACGCGCCCTTAGCGGCCACCCCCGGACGCGAGTATAGTGACAGGTGAGAACATCAAGCTCATCAACTACCACCAGGTCAGCGCCTCGCGGCTCATCTGGGCGATAAAGTCCTCTCGGGTCAGCCCACAAAGCATAGAGAAATTGCACAGAGGGAGCGGCGCGTGATTGGACTTTATTCCCAAATGAGTTGCCGAGACGCGGGGGTTCCAATCACCGCTGCTCTAACCTGTGGCATTTCTCTTTGCAGGATGTGGCGTTTGACGGCGACGCTGCTGGTGGCGGCCCTGGCCTCGGCCACTCCTCAGGGAGGCTACCTGCCGCCACGAGAGGACACGGTCTGTGAACCTGTCACGTCCGTGGTTTATGACACCAGAGTCCAGACCTCCGTTAATGTCCAGACCGTCAATCGTGTCGATACTCAATACCTCACCACCACAGTATTCAGCCAACAAGTCGTGCCCACAGTTATCTATAACACCAGAACTGACACACAGCCACGACTTGAAACAAGCATTGTGCAGCAAACAACAACCTTGTTTAATAACAGAGTTGTGACACAAACTGTCCCAAGCCCACCACGCCAGGAAGTTGTTTATGTCACATCAGTACATGTAGTTGCACAGATCAGTTACGTCACCAGCACACAGGTGCAAACACAGGTCGTACCTGTGGAGGTGACTAGCACACAGGTGCAGACAGTCCCTCAGCTCGTCACAAACTACCAGACTCAAACTCGACAGCAGACCCAAGTCGTGTCAGTCCCAGGCCGTGACGTAGTACAGACCCGGGTCCAGACTGTGGTTCAGACCTCCATCGCAACGCGTCAACAGCCGGCCAACACGCGTTACGTGACGTCAACAGGCGTGCAACAAGTGGTACAGACAAGCGTCTACCGCGAGCAGGATGTTGTCAGGACGAGCGTGGTCCAGCGTCAACAAGTCATCCCTTACACTTCCGTCAACACCCGTTACGAAAATGCTTACACTACCCGCGAGCAAGTGGTCACCAGCACCAACGTTGTCACTCAGACTCAAGTCAGCACCCAAGTGGTTCCACAGGAGGTGGTGAGAACCCAAGTGGTGCCCACTACCATCTACACCACCATTTACCAGACCCGAGTTCAAGCCTTCACTCAGGTGCAGACCGTGGTCCAGACCCAATATGTCACCCCCGCCCCTGTGGTCCAGACCCGTGAGGAAACCCGGACCTCGGTGGTCCAAGTGCCTGGCCAGGACCGCGTGGTGACCCAACAGGTGGTTCAGACACAGCAGCAACAACAGGTCGTCTACCAGACAGTCAACCAGCCACGACAAGTCACCGTCACACAGACCATTACAGCCACCTGTGGCCAGACAGGATACAACTACAACGCTCCTGCAACTCCCTTTAACTTCGGCAAATAGGCTTTTTTCTACGACTAAAAATTTTAAAGGTTCCATCACAACAAAAATTAACAAATGTAAGCAATATAACACAAAATCCGATTTCTAGTTCTGTATTTCATGTCTTTCGTCATAAAACGCTATATGGAAAATGTTATATTTATGTAAAAAAATATAACCAAGTATTATAATAATCGTCGTTTTATTTAATGTACATTCGGAAAATATTGATATAACCTTCCATATGCTTGTTAAAATTGGAAATGATTAAATGGAATATTGTAATATAATTTGATAGTCTCTGTCACTTATCAATAATTAGTTCATAACATGACTTCTTAATCAGGATGAAGGTGCTGGTGGCGCTGGTGGTGCTGGGGTGTGCTGCGGGGGTGTCCCTTCACCGACCACAGCGACAAGTGTTTGGCAGTAAGTTATCTCTCCAGTCATCTCTGGGCGGCTACCTTCCACCACGAGAAGAGCCCTGCCAGCCGTCAACCGTCTACCGTACACAGACACAGTACTCCACCCAGGTCATCCCCTCCACCGTCTACAAGACTGACGTACAATACGTTACCCAGACGTCTGTACGCACTCAGCAGGTCTACACCACCATCTACTCAGAGATCGTCAGAACCCAAGTGGTGCCGTCCATCCAGTACCAGACAGTGACCGTCACCCGTACCCAGGACAACGTCCGCACACAGGTCATCACTCTACCTCCCCAGGTCAACTACGTCACACAGACGCAACAAGTCGTCAACACACAGGTTCAATACCAGACCGTATACTCGACCCGCATTCAGCAAATACCATCAACAGTTACCAGGACTGAAGTTTCTACACAAGTGGTTCCTCAGCAGGTAATCAGCACAGTCTACCAGACCCAGTATGTGACCAGCACCCTGCAGCTTCCTGGACAGACCCGCACCATAGACAGTACCCAGTACAGCACCATCTACTCCACCGTGGTGGTGCCCGCTCAGGACGTGGTCAGTACAACACAAGTTATCAGGACCAACGTCGTCACCCAGACCATCACCCAGCCAGGCCAGACCCAGTACATCACTTCCACCCAGGTGGTTCCCGTCACCACCACCATCTACTCCCAGGTGGTGGTCACCAACACCCAGACACAGTACGTGACCCGCACCCAGGTACAGCAGGTGGTCTCCACCTACTACAGTACACAGCAGGTGCCGCAGTTTATCACCAGGGCAGTAACTGTCCCACAGGAGGTGGTGAGGACCCAGGTATCAACACAGGTGGTGCCCACAACCATCTACACCCAAACAACAATTCCTTCAGCAGTGACCCTGCCCGGCCAGACCCAGTACATCACCGTCACCAGAACCTCCGTCAGCACCCAGCAGCTGCCAGGCCAGATCCGCACCCAGTATCAGACCACAACCATCTATAACACCAACTACGTCACCTCAACCGTTGTCAACCAGCAGTACAACACCGTGACGGCCACCAGTACCTACCAGCCCACCTGCAGCACCGGCTACAACTACCCAGCACCTGCCCAAAGCTTTAATGCCCTGGGCTAGCAACGGTAACCTATGATGTCCACACAATATATAAAGTTTGTACTGCTAAATGCTTAGAGCATAACTGATCTTCATCATTTACATGTGTGCACTCTAATATTGGAAATCACTTTCACAAGTACTCCTTCTTGAGTTTAGTAAATTTACTAGCAAAATTAAATATACACTAACCTCTGTGTATGTTATGAGCATCTTAATGTGAAAATCTGATGTATCTGATGTATATTGTTGGAACTTTTATACATGCTACCAAATTTCCTGTATATGAATCTCTATATGACAAAAAATGTACATGAACAATATATAATAAGACTGAAGTCTGAGAATAAGACTTTCATTAATATAAAATATTTAAACAGTCCACGAATAGTTCTTTATATTTCCCTATTCATATTGTTAGTATATTCAACTGGCTCCATAACACAACATTTCTCCATATTATTATACTGAATTTATACCTCATAAAACCTTAAAAAAGGTCACGTTTGGTTGCTGTTTTCACACACAAACAAGCTATATAATGAAGGTTGAACACCTTTAATGAGCAATTGTCTCGGGTTTGAGAGCCAAATGCATGGCAAACAAGTTTTTTTTTTAGTTCAAGGGAGGTTCCCAACCTCAAGCACTAGAACAACATGGCCTTAACTGAGACGAGAGGTCAACTATGGCACCTGAACGTCTTCAAAGAGTCCTCGAGCCACACTCCATCTGGTCCCCTGTTCGGGAATCTTTCCCAAGTCCTAGCCACGGAGATCCAGACTGAGGCACCTCATCCTTCTACCTCCTCCAGAGAGTGCTGACTCTACTAAACCATGACAATTTATGAATAAATTTACTGAATTATATTGACTTGTGGGAGCGTCCAACTCGGCCTCTCTCACCACATCCACGTATTTTGAGAATTAGATAGGTACTATTAGTGGTCAACTCATGAAAGTAGGCTATCCAGAGTGGTTTCTAGACCAGGCCATGACAATTTCCCTAAGATAAATTTGTATTAAAGTGCCCCCTCTTATTAAACAGGTCAATCCACAAGCGACCATAGCAATCCCATATTGTGATAAACTCGAACACACTTTCCAGATGAGACGTAACACAGGGCCTCACGGCTGAGTGGACAGCACTCGGTGTGCGTAGTCATAAGGGTTCGGGTTCAGTCTCCGGCGGAAACAAATGGGCATCGTTTCTTTCACTCTGATGTTCCTGTTCACCTAGCAGTAACTAAGAACCTAGAAGTTAGACAGGTGGAGATGTGTGTGTGTGAAAATTATGATTAAGGACCTGTCCGAAACGCTATGCGTGCTAGTGGCTGAACAAGAATGTTAAAACTTTTGTATATATAAATAACAAAAAAATAAATAAACAGGGGGATGACTCGGGTAATGATTAACTGCCCTAATGACAATAGTTAACGGTTAATGACAAAGAAAACACACTACAGAGGAGTCAGGGGTTTAAGCAAAGCCGTCACTTCAATATGTGCCCGGGTCAGTAGCTACCTGTTCTTGTCAGTAACTGTCCTTCGTTGGTGGTTAACAAACGCTGATGGCGGGATGCTGACCCAGCATGTGACCGGGTCCACTCCCATTCCTCTAAAGATGTCCCTCACACTTGTTAATACTGATGAGGCTCTCACTTTGGACACCCACATATTCAGTGTTTATTTTTTATTTTTTATTTTTTTTTTTTGGGGGGGGGGGCTCAATTGGTGTTTATCATCCATTACAAAATTTTTGTTTCTGTCTTGCCATAGTTGGAGGCCAGATGCTAACTTCACCCAATATCTCTCAGTAATGCTGTTGGGTACATGCTCAGAATAGTCAGGTCTAGACAGGCGTCAAAGGAAGGGGTGCCACGCGACACTGTGCCAACCCCCCACCCCCACCCCACCCTACCCCAAGCTTAATCTCGCAGTACCACTAATTTTGCTATAATTTGTCATATAAAACGTTTTGCACTCATCACACGATAATTTAAAATAAATTTTGGATTTTTCTTTTCCAAAACAGCAAGTTAAGGGTCCTCTGGTAAGTTATGAGGGCAGGAAGTTCTCCTAAAGTTTCAAAACGTCATGAAAACCGTTAATTGAAAGTTTCCTCTCCTAATCTAACCGAGTAAGCCGGAGGACTCAAAACAGAAAACGGGACAGTACGTCACTTTCGTCAGACAATTTCATTTCAAATTACGTCCATTTTTGGCCATAGCGCGCATACGAGCGAAAAGCGACGTAATTTTAAGAGGACGGGTTGCAGCAGTGTCCTCTAATCTTAAGATCTTAATTCCAAGTATTAAGTATTTTATATTTTCATTTCAGATGCAGTCTTGAAGAGAAGCATAATCACGAAGTGACTAAGCCCCATGAAGTGACAATGGGCTTAATCAGAATCGTGTACGTGCAATCATATACAAAAATGCATTTTCACGTCTTGATCTGAGAAACGCTGACAAGAGCAACCTCATAAAATTAATGTTTTTAAGGGCGTCATCTGTGTGGAGAAAAGGGTTGTCTGCTGCCAGTTGGGCTGTCCTCTGAACTAGCAATAAAGTCTAAAGAACATTAATAAAAGCGACGAATGCTACAGTATTCCTGCCACTATAGCCAAGCTGAACACGAGCCTCAAGCCATAAGCCAATTTATTAGTCCTAGAATGACTATAAAGTACCAAGAGCTATCAACTCTTCTGTGGGTCTCAGTTACTTTTGATTTAATGTTAAACTCGAGACCAATTAAACGCGTATGGGTTATTAAGGCCGCCATCAGAACTTACTGAACATTCAGCAAATACACTTTTGAGTCCTGAACTATGTTCAGGGCTAAAGTAAACTCTCAGTGTATATACACCAAGAAGTGAGGTACACCTCTGGGTGTATAGCCGTGATGGAGTTACCTTTCTATTTTTAAACTTTTTACACAGGTGCCTTCACCTGCGAGAGGGATGAAGGGCATTCAGTGACTGGTGAGTCAGCAGTCAACATGCACAGAGCAACTGTTTACTTGAGTGACCTGCCTCAAGCGACCACCAAGAAGGTGTCAGTTTAACCAGCGTCTGAGACGGCTGGAAACACTATCAAGAGTCATGGTTCGAGTTGGCCTCGACACTAACATAATTCCGTTGTGCATATTAAGCCGGATACAAATGGCTTTAGAAGAAACGTTAAAATGGCTAGCAATTCTACACCCGCAACGACCAGAGGGAATATATTCCTTCCTCTCAATGTCCTAAGATAATGGAAATATTATGAAAATGATAAATATGATAGAAGACTGCAAGAAACTACTGGATGACATGAACAAATGAAAGAATAGTACTAGAGTTTAACTCAAACAAGTGCAAATTAATGAAGGTAGCTGCTGAGAGCAGGAGGATCGACATAAGGTACCACATGGAAGAGGAAACTCTTTTGGAATTGGATAAAAAAATACTTGGAAGTTGATATTACACCGAACTTGTCACAGGAGGTCCACATGAAACGAATATCAACAGCTGCATATAGAAGGTTCCCCAACATAAGAGCTGCCTTTAGGAATTTGAGAAAAGTCGTTCAGGACCTTGTTTGCCATATATGTCGGACTAACTTTAGAATATGCGGCACCAGCGTGGAAGCTTTATCTCATTGAACACAAAACGAAGCTATAGAAAGCTCAGAGGTATGCCACCAGACTACTCCCAAAGCTCAGAGGCATGTGAGGTATGATTTATGAGTAAACTAAATTAATTATATCTCATGACACTGAAAGAGGCGAAACAGGGAAGACATGGTTACCACATAGAAGATACACACAGGGCAGACTAGAACAGACTAGTTAACATGGACAGCACACCAACAAGAGAACACAGATAGAAACTACGGAAGTCATTCGTACTTGGCACATCTAGAGGGCAGTTTCTTACTCGGATTTCTATCCTGACATTGTGAGTGCGATCCATTCCCGTGGCCTATCCTCTCGCCGAAATAGGGAGTACGAAATGTCTCTGACTTGGTTACCTTTGTCACACAAGATTAACTCATGGTCACTTTATAGAACAGAGCTGAACCCTACTGTCAAAACTTTTTTGCTTTACTACAGGCACTTATCTCCTCGTAGAATGTCCTGATTTTCCATGATGATCAGATAATTTGCTTTTCCACTATGCTATACGAATTTGCAATACGTAACACGTTTCTCGATAGCAACCTCAGTAAATCCGACTCCTTTCATAGCCATCACCTTATTCCTGCTCCCGTAATGGAATCCCGAATGATATCTAAGACCTCGTGAATATTCACGACATACCCAGTGCCATGTAGCAACACTGGCTTGGAGGTTTGTCGTGATAATTACTTGCTGACTTACCCTGGATCACTCGCCAACACGTGCTCAGAAGCGTTAATATGAACCAGAGCACCCGAGCTCCAGGACTGACGGCCAGGAGACTCCCACAGTATTCCATTCACCTGGGGCCAGATTCACGAAGCAGTTACGCAAGCACTTACGAACCTGTACACCTTTTCTCAATCTTTGGCGGCTTTGTTTACAATTATTAAACAGTTAATGAGCTCCGAAGCACCTGGAGGCTGTTTATAACAATAACAACATTTGATTGGGAAGTTTTCATGCTTGTAAACTGTTGAATAAATGTAACCAAAGCCATCGAAGGTTGAGGAAAGATGTACACGTTCGTAAGTGCTTGCGTAAGTGCTTTCGTGAATCTGGCCCCTGGGCTCTAGGAGACTCGAATCGCGGATATCGCATCAAGTTTTATATATCAGAATTTTGTGTATATTAAAACCTAATGTAGGTTAGGTTAGGTGTTTTGGTCCTGTTGGAAATTATCGGTATTTGAAGTAGGTGGGTGAAGCATTGAGAGCGTTGCACTTCGAACAGCTCTCTACTCATGAGAGTAAGTAGTGAGCGAAACATGCTCAAGACAAAAACCCACACAACTCACTGCTGGTTGCGTTTGAAAGTGTTTGTCATTCATAAACGGGGGACGGCTGTTGGATTAACGAGCACAGCCTGAGGTTGGGTTGTCATATTTGTCATTAATCAGCACTTTATAACGACTTGTATTCATATACTTTGCTTTCTCACGTCATGTGGGCAAGTAAACAGGCCGCATGTTGCGTCTTTATATAAACAGGACGCATGTTGGGACGCAACATGCGTCCTGTTTCACACGTCCCGTCCTCATACTCATAGAGAATGAGGACGGACACACTCTAATTGATAGGAGCCAGATGCTCCTTGTGAGGACCAGAGAAAAGGAGCCAGACACAATGTCAGAACTAGAGGGAAGGAGCCTCCACCGTAGCCTAGGAGCCGGCCTCCTAGGCAATGAACCCCACCACCCGGTTCTTGGTCTGACTTACGTATCACTGCCCAGCCT